GATAAGGGGATCTTCAGGGTCTTTAGGTCGCGGAAGGTCATTGGTGATAAAACCCAGCTTGTTTTTGGTACGAAGAGCACGACGCATAGCCCTCAACCAAGTTGGGTAGTTATCGGCGGTAAGTACATCAGTGATAAGAATAACGGCGGGGTTATCGCCGTTGTCAAGCCGATAAGGGTTGCTGGGGTCGTTAAAATTGGAATAGCAATTGGGGTTTTTGGTGTGAGCAGATGACGCAACAGAGTGGGAGGAAGAATCAGAGGAATTATCGTGCTGGTCTTCCATGGAGATTCTCTCTCACAGCTCTGATACCATGTCAGTAGCCAAAATAGAAGATAATGGGGAAATGAAAAACGGAGAGAATTAACAAAGAAGGAACGCAATTGTTCAGTGCATTTCAGAGCTATCTTGTTACAATATGTACAGTGATGGTGTTCTTTTACACACAATTTTATAACAAAACTATCTGAAAAGATTCCTAAAAGAGAATAACAAAAATATAGATCAAAATGTATTTACAGGAAAAATGATGGAATAAAACTATCCCTTTTCATTTGAGCAACGTGCAGTAATTTCTTCTGGAATCTGGGCTGCAATATTTTGGGCTGGATGCATATTGTGTAATATCTCTTGCCCTCAAAACGACCATTGCCGAATTTGCATTATTACCTCCAGTGAAGCAAATTGTTTCATTATAGGCAACTTAACAAACGCAAGATAACGTGATTCTTAGGCAGCCTATGAATGCAAATCTAAAACGTTTGATTATCTTTGTTAGATACATTCCTAGAAGAACTGTAACTTGCCATTGTAACTTTCGAAACAAGAACACAATCTCGAAGCCATATTTGCCTAGGATATTTTTTATCGAGTGCTGCTCAAAATACTCAGGTGCTTTGATCAGAACTGTAACTTGCCATTGTAACTTTCGAAACAAGAACACAATCTCGAAGCCATATTTGCCTAGGATATTTTTTATCGAGTGCTGCTCAAAATACTCAGGTGCTTTGATCATCAGCATCCGAGGCCAATTGAGATTCTCCTCCTCTACCAACATCTTGATTCATCACCTTTCTCTTCGTCTTCATCTTCGTCCTCGTCCTCGTCCCCATCCTCTTCATCTCTACTGCTATTGGGATCTACATCATCCTTTCAAGCGAACCATGCACAAAATCCTCAATAGAAGCTACCCCCTGGTTTGGCTTCTTAGGGATCAATGCAGGAAACTACATTCTAGAATTTTCATCCTCATCTTGAGGAAATTCGGTTTTCTTGAGCAGAGTTTTTCTCTTCGGCTTCTGAGTAGGATCATCGTCAGGTTTTTTTTTTCAATCTATTCCAATTTCATAGTTGATGGCAATAGAAAAGGTATTTTTTGAAAGAGGGGTAAAATTGTCCAATTACTCTAGTTATGTTATGAAAATAATTTTTAAATTATTTATTTATATATAATAAATTGTTCAATTAATCAAGGCAATATGATCTAGATGGGTAATACATAATTAATGTGAAAGCGTTTCAATTGATTATTAACTAGCATCAAAACATTTCAATTTATTACTAACAACAGTTGCGACCCAAGATGGGTAATGTTTAACAAACATGAAAGTGCCTTAATTAATTGGTGGCAACTCTTACAAGTTGATTTATTGTAACTTTTAGTTTAATTAATTAAATAAGAAAAAATCACATTAGTTATCGGATAATGTAGTTTCTTTTTTTTTTTTTTCCATCAATATCAAATGTAACTAAAGGCTTGATTGAGCCCCATTTTTGTCAAAAATAAAATAAAATTTTTGAATAGTATATTGTTCCGAGATTTGTGATTAAAAAATAAGGAAATTTTTTGAATTTACGTATAATATTATTTTATTGGAAAATGTGTGATTAAGATGAGGTCAAAACAATATTCAAAAATGCATTTTTTTTTCAAAAAATGAGACTCGAACAAGAGCTAAATATTCAAAACATCGAGAAAATGCATTAATCGAAAGTATAATATTACATTCACTTGTCAAAGTGAGGGCCACAAAATTATTTTTAAAAAAAAAAAAATCACATTTTTAGTTTTTACACAGGTTTTTCTTCATGTCACATTAGAGACTTTAGTGACCTTGCTTTAATTGGCTTTCGGGCTCTTTTCCTCCCACTCTCGCCACCCTCTTCATCTTCTATCTCATACTCGACCTCGGATTCTTCATTGTTGATTTGAGAGAATGTGGGTTGTATCATTTCATATTCTTGCTCGACATTCTTAGGGACGTCTAGACTATTCTTGCCTCTCTTCTTGCCCCATCGTGGTCCAAAACCAGTGTAGTAGTAAAATTCATATGAATTTGATGTCGAAACTGATTTCTTGGCCCGTGGCCTGCGCTGAGAGTCAGCCGCCGCCTTATCTTGTTTCTTCGTCTCTAGAAGAGCTGAGTTGTAGTTTCGCACTTGAGATAAGTGGTGCATGCACAAAGAGTTCCCTTCGGCCGCCACCCTCTTGCATTTCCATGCTTTCCCATCAGTCTTGACACAACATACAATCTCCTTTTCCTTCTTTAACCCGGGATTCGAAGGCCTTTCTACCGAATTATCACAGGCAGAGCCGCCCACATTGCCGCCATCACCATCGCCATTGCCTTTGGAATTATCCCATTTCGCAGCTTTGATCTCTCCAGTTAGTTCATCGTCCGCAGCAATTTTCAATGATGCAGCACTATTGATAAAATTCCAAATATACATTTGACTCCAAATTTCAAAAAATCAATAATGCAGATTGGAGAACCCTAATTATTTTCTGCATCAATAAAGAGCTGGAAAATTTGTAAGATATTCCAAATTAAACACAGAATAAAAGGATTACCTCTGAAAAGCAGCAATAGATTCTCCCAATCTCCCATTTCTTGCGAAATTTTCAGTTCCATTCACCTGCATAAAAATTATTCTACTTCAAAAAATAGAAACGCCCAAGTTAAGATAAACAAATACAGTGAAAACCCACAAAAGAATTCGAATTCCAAAGACCAAATACACGACAAAACCCCTTTGATTCACATTTTTGAATGAACCCGACTGGTGTGGTTTTCAGAAAACCCTAGAAGAAAAGAACAAAAGCAAAAATGAAAGTAAATTTGACAAGAATAAAAAATGGTTTTCAACAGATCTGTGTACAGAATTAAAGTCAAGTCATTATAGATAAAACTTAACTAACCTGGAACGACGGTGGAGGCGGTGGCGAAAAATTCATAACGTCCCAAGGGGACTGATTCAACTGGCATTGAATCACGGTTCCAGGTTTCAGTGAAGACGCTGCATACATCAGTGGACTAACCTTGGCGTGCTTCCGAATTCTCATGGCGGTTCTGTGGCTTTTTTGGGGAATTTTTTGGTGGATAGTCGGGGCAGAAACTCAAAATGGTAGAGAGGCTTTGAGGGGGTGGGCAAGGGGTATTTTTTTATAACTCTCTCTATCTCTCTCTCTGTATATATCAGTTGTGTGTATATTTACATATATTTGCTGCTTACAGGCAACAACTTATGGGCCCACAGGGTAATAGTGCTATCAGTTGTGTTCTGTTTGTTTGGTCAAAAGTGAAAATATTTCGCACCCATTCTTTAAAATTCATTTTTCTTCAAATTTATTTTTAACTAAACATTCTTTCGATAAAATAATTTTAAACATTGACTCCTAACTTTTAGAAATATATACAAATGTATAACATAAAATCTCGTACACTTTGACCCACACTAGAATTACAAAAATATTTAGAGTATGTTTGATTGGTAAATGTGGAAAGACTTTTCAATTACATGTAAGTTGGAAAATAAAAATCCAAGTACCACATAAGAATGCATTTTCCATGAAATTAGCAAAAAACAAGTTTAAAGTGGTTGGAAATGGAACTCTATTTCCACTTTCGTATCAAACAGTCAAAGTAGAAATTGAATTCATCGGATGTGACATTTTCCATGGACTTTAAATCAATCAAACGGACCCTTAGTGAATTACGTGTATTTATTGATCAACAACATAGATCACTTTTTAAGTGAATACGAGTGATACTGTTCTATATCAAATTAAAGAAATATTATGAGGAGTTCGATTTTCCTAGATTGAAGTATCGATTCATTATAAAGGCTCTTCCTCATTTTCTCTCGTACAACTTCTCTAGGATAATCTTCAAGAAAGAGGTGGTAAAACGAGTGGACCTAACTCAAGGATTCTACTCTATGAGGTTCGACAAAATGTCACTACCATAGTTTGATTATTAATGCAACATATAATGCCGAAGTACAAGATAAGGACACAACGCAACAAGATACGGTCACGATGTTGCCTCAGTTGAACTTAAGATGGTGATGATAGAGCCTCGTCTTTTTTGCGTTACAGAAAAATGTGCAATCATTTGAACCAATTTGTCTGCTGTTCGTGAAGAACTTATCGGTAATGGAACTGAAAAATTGGGAGTATATGTATAAATAACAATGAAGGAGATCAGTCCTCACCTTTCTCCCTATACAATATCCTGTTTCCACGTCCGAACAAAATTTGTGGGCATTCTTTAAGTTTCTCTCTCTCTCGATGTTTATATCTATCTTGACGGTCTATAATCATGGAAATTAAAGACATCAGATTATAACAAACAGATAGGAAAAGAGAAAAAAGGTGTCAATAGAGGATATTCATATACAGGAAGAGGTACACATTTGCTGATTTTTTGAGCTCTCTTTCAAAGCTTTCCAGTTATCACCTGCCTGGAAATCAGTGACGAATTCGTATTACATCTAGGCCAATACAGATTAAATGCACTATATTTTCAAGAACGGTTACTCACCTGGCTGTTGTATCTTTCGAAAACGAGAACAATTAGTGGACTAGAATGGAAAGCAAAGCTCTCCCACTCAAGACAATTGATCGCCTTTACTAAACAATCATCGATCTCTCCCTCCCAGTCAATTTCAGCGCCATCTTCACCTACAACATTATTTATTGGATGTTGCTCGAAATACTCTTATGCTCTAGTACCCCACCCAACATCGGCATCCAGAGGCCAATTGGGATTCTCCTCCTCTACCATCATCTCATTTCCTCTTGAATCATCACCTTTCTCTTCGTCCCTGTCCTCATCCTCATCATCACTGGAATCAACATCATTGTCAACTTTATCTTTCATAATAGCCGAATCTGCCAGATTGATTCAAAAATCCATTCAAGTGAATCACGCACAAAATCCTCAACTACAGCTGCTTCACTCCGACGACCCCGCTTGGGCTTAGGGATCACTGTAAGAAACTTCCTTCCGGAATTTTCATCCTCGTCTTGAGTAACTTCAGTTTTCTCCCGCTGAGTTCTTCCTTTTCGCTTCAAACTACCTAGGACCCTAACTACGATTCTTGTCTGGGTTTTGACTCGGAATTCTTTGAACTGGAAGTGCATACCAATCTTTGGATTTCACAGTCGATGGAAACAGGAAATGAAAGGCAACAAGAATTTGTTGTTTGATGCAGAGACAACATCGACAAAGAAAGAACATCTTTTTATTCCTACCTATAATCTTCCTCAGAACACAAAAACTCACTGATCAAACCTCAATAAAGAAAGACAACATGTTGAAGTCGCTCAGTAACTTTCCTTCTTTCTTCCGTCCAAGAGACTGTAAATCATTGAAATTTGGAGCAATTACATGGACTCCTTTCACTAAACAGACATTAAGAATGAAATTTTAGCAAGTATAAGAAAATGAAGCAGAAACTACAGGGCCAACTAAAATCATTACGCCACACAGTAATATCACTTAATGAACAGCCAGCAAGAAAGGAAAAACAATCAAGAATATGAAAAACAGAAATCTAAGACAGCATTTAATGGAATCCACTTGAAGTATGTTATTAGATTCATGATTTACTAGTAAACGTTAACAAGAAATTAAACAGTCGTTGAGTGGACAAAAAATTAAACACCTGGCATGCGTCAAATGACGGAATCATAAATGACAAATCCTAAAATGGGAAATTCAAGATAATCAAAGTTCTCTTTGCATGCATACGTGTGCGCTTACATTCGATTGAGAGAGAGAGAGAGATTTACTTTAAAGAAGTCAAAGCCCACGAATAAAAAAGGGTTTTTAATTTTTGAATTTTTTAATGTTATAATTTATAAAACGCTTAAATTACCAAAATAGGGGCTTTCTAAAAAATACCAAAAAAGGCACTACTTCCCCAAATATAGAAAGAGATTAGGAATGATAATTGAGCGGGTATGAGACGGGTCGGTCATTCCCACTTTCGTCTCGTCGGGTATTTTTGTCACCTTACCCTATTCACATACCCCAATTAAAGTGGACCTGCTCCATTTATTTTTTCTTTTTATTTTTTGCTTCTCTTTTTTTATGTCTTTAGTTAGTAAAATATTATTATTTGTTTACTAATGTGTTACAAACAATTTATGCTCTCTTTAAAAATGATGATAAATTTATTATTTTTGTTCGATAAAAAACTTAAATTTGAAATTAATTTTAAACGGGGCGTGGACTATATTTTCCCGTACCCGCTTCGAGTTAATGACCATCGCCCCGACCCCGTCCAGTTTATCTGGTTAGGCGGGTAATCCCCATCTCATTCGGGGTGGGCGGGGTCCACAGGTATCGAGTTGAACGGATTTTTTGCCATCCCTAAAAGAAACGGCAATTTAGGATCTTCACATGATTTTCACCTTTTCGTCCAAGATTTATGGGGACAAAATTGTCCAAGAACTTGTCAATTTATGAACATTATTTTTAGAGATAGATTTTTTCGAACTCCTCTTGCTTAGTTATTTGCTCAAGACGAAAGTGTAAAAAATTCCGGTTATCACTTGCCCTTAAACTACCATTGACATTTCAATGATTTCATTATCTTTGTTAGATTCTTTTCCAGAAGAACTGTAACTTGCCTATTGTAAAATTTAAAACAAGAACACAATCTCAGTGTCGTCTTCGTCTATGATTTATCGAGCGCTGCTCAAAATACTTGGATGCTCTGATCCTCCGCTCCACATCCGAGGCCAATTAGGATTTTCCTCCTCTACCAACATCTCATTTCCTCTTGAACCATCACCTTTCTCTTTGTTCCATCCCCATCCTCTGAATTCTGCTGCCGAGTTGATTCAAAAGTCCTTTCAAGCAAACCATGTTTTGAGGAACTTCGATTTTCTTGAACGGAGTTCTTCTCCTTGGCTTCTGATTAGGATCGTCATTAGGTTTTTTCTATCAAATGGCAGCGTGTACCAATCTTTTTCCTGTTTATTCCAATTTCACAGTTGATGGTAATAGAAAGGTATTTTTCAAAAAAAAAGGCTAAAATTGTCAAAATACACTAGTCATTTTTCGAAATAATTGATTTATATAAAATAAATTGTTCAATTAAGCAAAGACAATATAATCGAGATGGGTAACACATAATTAACGTGAAATCGTTTCACTTGATTATTGACTAATGTCAAAGCATTACAAATTATTATTGACGATATCTACAGCACGTAAAACAAATTATAATCGAGATGTGTGATATGTAATAAACATGAAGTGCCTTAATTAATTGATGGCAACACGTAAAAAAATGCTTTATTGTAACTTTTAGTTTACTTAATGAAATAACAAAAAAGTCACGTTAGCTATAGATAATACTTTCTTTCTTTTTTTATATATATATAGGGATGTCAAAAACATTTAACAAACCCGATACCAGCGGGGCCCTGCTCCCAACGAGACAGGGATTACCCGATTAATCGTGTATTCGGGGAGGAGACGAAGCGGGGAATTTTGCCTCGGGGTGGGGATGGGCAACGGGTGTCCTACCTTATTTAATTTTTTTTTTTTTAGAATTTAATACTTTAAATGCAAAATTTCACGAAATTTCATTAGTTCTAATAGAAAATGGCAACTAAAATTATTTATCTTAATCTAATGAATTTGGGCAATACAATGAATTATCAAAGAGCCCCGCCCCGCCCCGCCCCGCCTTGCCCCGCCTTAAACGGGGGCGGGGGCGGAGAATTGCTTAGCGAGACTGGGGAGATTGCCCCTATTTTTTTTATCAATATCAGATGTACCTAAATAATCAAAACATCAAGAAAATGCATTAAACAAAAGGACAGTATTACCCTTACTAGTCAAAGTAAGGGCAACAGAATTATTAAAAACCACACATTTTTTACACAAGTTTTTTCCTATGGTCACATTAGAGACTTTAGTGACCTTGCTTTAATTGGTTTACGGGCTCTTTTCCTCCTTTCATCACCCTCCTTGTCTTCCTCAGACTCAATCTCGAATTCTTCTTTGTCAGTTTCAGAGAATGTGGGTGGTACCATATCACGTTCCTGCTCGATATTTTTAGGGACGTCCGAAGTACTACTACTAGTTCGATTGCTCTTGCCTCTTTTCTTGCCCCATAACGGTCCAAAACCCGAGTAGTAGTAAAAGTCATGCGGATTTGACGTTGAAGCTGCTTCCTTAGACCGTGGTCTGCGCTGAGAGTTAGCCGCCACCTTAACTTGTTTCTTCGTCGTTGGAAGAGCCAAGTTGTAATTTCGCGCTTGAGATAAGTGGTGCTTGCACAAAGAGTTCCCTTCGGCAGCTTCCCTCCTGCATTTCCATGCTTTCCCATCAGTCTTGACACAATATACAATCTCCTTTTCCTTCTTCAACCCGGGATTCTCAAGCCCTTCTTCCGAGTTATCGCAGGCAGAGCCACCCACATTGCCGCCGTCGCCATTGGAATTATCCCGTTTCGCAGCTTTGATCTCCCCAGTCAGTTCATTGTCCGTAGCAATTTTCAGTGATGCAGCACTATTGATAAAAATCCAAATATAGATTTGACTTCAAATTTAAAAAAATCAATAATGCTGAGAACCCTAATTATTTTCTGCATCAATAAAGAGCTGGGAAATTTGTAAGATAATCCAAATTAAACACAAAATAAAAGGATTACCTCTGAAAAGCTGCATTAGATTCTCCCAAGCTCCCATTTCTTGCGAAATTATCAGTTCCACTGACCTGCATAGAAATTATTCTATGTCAAAAAAATAGAAACGCCCAAGCTATATTAAACAAATACAGTGAAAATCCACAAAAGAATTCAAATTCCAAAGACAAAATACACGAAAAAAACCCTTTGATTCACATTTTTGAATGAACCCGACTGGTGGGTTTTTCAGAAAACCCTAGAAGAAAAAAGAATAAAAGCAAAAATGAAAGTAAATTTGACAAGGAAAAAAATGGTTTTCAACAGATCTGTGTACAGAATCAAAGTCCAGTCTTTAAAGATAAAAATTTACTGACCTGGAACGACGGTGGAGGCGGTGGAGGCGGAGGAGATGATGGTGGCGAAAAGCTCATCACGTCCCAAGGGGACTGATTCAATCTGCAAATATGGGTTTGAAGAACAATTCCAGGTTTCAGTGAAGACGCTGCATACATCAATGAACAAATTTTAGCGTTCTTCCGTATTCTCATGATGGTTCTGTGGTTTTTTGGGGGAGTTTTTTGGTGGGTAGTCGGGCCAGAAACTCACAAGGCTGGAGAGGCTCTGTGGACTGTGGGGGTGGGCAAGGGGGGTTTTTTTTTTTTTTAATATTTTTTCTCTCTCTGTCTCTCTCTGAATGTGTGTATGTTGTTATTTATATATTTGTTGCTTACAGAACAGTACATATCTTCAGACACCCACTTATGGCCCACAGGGTAATTAGTGTGAAAGAGTTGTGTTCTGTTGGTTTGGTGAAGAGAAAAAATATTTTAAATCCATTCTTTAAAATTCATTTTTTTTTTCAAGAATAATGCAGTTTTGCTAGATGATTTTAACATCTTGGATGATAAATTAAAGCCCAGTTTGTTGTATATTAAAATCAGATTTTTAGTTGATTTTGATAAAAGTTGATGAAATCTGTAGTTGAAAATTTGTGGATCCCATGAAATGTGTAATTAAAATTAAATTGTTGATTTTGACTTGAGATTAAAATCAAATTTTAATTTGTACCAAACAAGGGCTAAGTATGTGGCAAAAAATGATTGGATGAAATTATTGACTATTTTTAAACAATCATTCGCGTTAAATCATCTGGTAGCATGCAGACCTATTTTTTCAAATATATTTTTGACTAAAAATTCTTTCATTAAAATAATTTTAAACATGGACTCCTAATTTTTTTTTTTTTTTTTTAAATTGTACATTCTCCAAAAATTTATATTTTATGAAACTTATTCTAAAAAATGTACATCAAACAAATCATTTGTAAAAAGTAGAAGTTAATGAAAAAAAACATATACATATGTATTGAATAAAATCTCGTAATCTTTGACCCACTCTAAAATTATGAAAATATTTAGTGGATTACGTGTATCTATTGATCAACAGCATGGATCACTTTTTATGTGAGTTCATGTGGTATCCATGTTATGTCTA